TAAGTAACGTAAGTAACGTAACGTAACGTAACGTACGTAACGTACGTAACGTACGTACGTACGTACGTACGTCGTACGTCGTCGTACTCGTACGTCGTTCCTCTCTCTCTCTCTCTCTCTCTCTCTCTCTCTCTCTCTCATGTGTACAGTTGAATCACAGTTGCAGTGTCCAATGTTGCATTGTGAATTAAGCAAAATCTCATATGTTTTGGCATGACAAATTGTTCGAGGAAACTGTTCTAGTATTCTGACAAAAACATGTAATGAACATTTTCTGATGGATAATGGTAACATTATTCTCTCTCTACAAGAACTTCTCCAACCCATATACCAGATTCTGCAAAACCAGTAAAGAAATTCAATCACACCACTCCAATAAAACCAGAAAACAGTCCAAATATGAGCCTTTTACCTTGAGTCTAACAACCCTCCTGATAGCCACTAGTAGGCCTGGCATAAAGCATTTCACATCTGTTATGTCATGTTTAAGGGAGTAGACCTGCATGTTGTCATATTTCAAAACCAAAATTTAGTTAAAACTCATAAACTTTACGATCTTATAATAAATCATGTCTGGTTTTTCATGAGAACTCATGTCTGAGAAATAGACCCGCAAATTTCGCATCATGCTCAAGAGAAAAGTTTAGTCAAAATTCTTCATTTTGTACTTTTCGTGAGCATTTATGGTGACCACCTTTTTTGTGAGAGAGATCTCAAAGTAGTATACCTCTCCTGGACCAGAGAAGTAGACTGTGGTGCTTGAAGGGAGACCTGGCAAAACCAAACTATGGACACGAATGCCGTCTTCACCAACCACTTGACCCCTGGCCTTTGCACAGGTTGATCACAGAATAGATTCAGGAGAGGAGAACAAACAAGATGAAATCCAACGGAAAACAAAATGAAAATAATCAGATGTGAGAACTTTAAAAGAAAGACAACAGGGTTAAACAGAGAGAGAACAAGGTCAAGAAATATGGAAACCAGTGTGTGTGAGAGAGATATCCAGTTACCAAAATGTCTGTTGAGATATCATCCCTATTGTATAACTGACCAAGGTTTGAGATGTTGTCAGCTATCTGGATTGCATCCGAGGATGGAAGGTCCTAAAAATTCAAAAGGAGAGACTATCGTTATTAGTTTCAGTCATTCAAAAGTTTCAAAACCATACCATAATTTTCAAAAGATCGATTGTCCAAGTAAGGGCATGTCTGGATGTCGCCCAAAATGCATGCATCGCGTGTGTTGGGCGGAACTCAATAGGGAACTGATACAAACATGTCTAGCAGCCAAAGAAGCTATAGTTGTATGCTAAATTCTCACTAACACCATAATCAGTATGCAGTTACTACGCATAGATGAATTACTGAATTTTATATATTCATATATATATATATATATATATAGAGAGAGAGAGAGAGAGAGAGAGAGAGTAGTACTACTAGTTACTATAACGTAAGTAATTAACTTACTACGAGTATGTACTACGTTCGGTCGTAGTACTACAACTAACTCCTACCACTAGTTAGTTAGTAGTAGGAAAGG